TTTAATATTAAGGAAGGATATCTAAAATAGCAAGTAAAACCTGACTCATTTAATTGTTTGACTATTCTGGGCTACTGTGTAGCCATTATTAAACTTAAAACAAGTGGGTTTTGTGGATGCATTATTTACAGATTTTTGGGGTTTCCAGAGGTCATTTTAAAGGTTAGGCTATTTGGGAAAATTTGTTTAGGTGGGGTATCCTATTGGAAGTCAACAATTCTTGTGATATGTGTGTTAAAAGTGTTCAATTGGCCATATAATTTTTTATTTAATGTTCATACATTGAATCATCTTTTTGTACCAGAAATTAAAGATCAAATTGTATTGGTTTTAATTAACAACTGAAGATACTACAGCAAAAAGGAAAGGGCCCTCAATAAGAAGTGTTTACAATCCAACCAGTAACTGTCTTCTACTGAAAGAGACCAGAGACTCTTTTAATTTTAGAGCAAATTATTGAAAATAGAAAAAAAAAACAAACAAACAAACAGAAATGGCTGTGAAATCAGTGTTTGCACCAAATAAAAACATGCTATTGACTGCATGTAGCTTCACTTTTAATGCCTAGCTGTGTTGTCACACATTTTCCTTGGCTGCAAGGTACAAAACAAAAATACCTATCAATCATGAACTTGCCAATGTATACAGTTGTAAAAATAATTTTGAATTGTTTGTTTTGGTCATTGATAGCCAAGGGGAGCATAATTATCTTTTTGGATATAAGGGACTTTTTCCAAATTAGTCTAGTTGATCACTCAGCAACCTTTTAGTTTCAACTTTCTTCTTTTGAGACTTTGTTTTGCTCATTTTTATGGGGTTAGGTGACTTATTTTTTTCATGTTTATTATATTTTCCTTTTACAGAGAACCGCTTCAAATGATGATGAATTGGCGAAGTCCTTTCAGCCTCAAATTGTGGCCATTGGTGAACGATTTGATTTTGAGAAACTATGTATCATCTACGAGGGCATTAATCTATACAGCATACCATAACAAAGCACTGTAGATAGCATTGTGGCTTTGCTGTCATCAAGACATGAAAGCCATATTGTCCTTCCTAGAGCAGGCCCTAATGGGTATTGGCCAAGGTCATACTTTGCTGAATGTCAGCACTTTCTTTAACCCTTTAACTCCCATGAGTGACCAAGAGAAAACTTCTCCTTAAAATCTCAGCACAATTTCAAGTAGAAGAGTGATGAGAATAAAGCAGAATATGATCTAGGGGACTTAAAGTTGATCCAACACTAAATTCTCCCAAATAATATCAAAAGATTGTATGACAGACAGTAAGAGGAATTACTATTACGATGTTGGGAGTGAAAGGGTTCATGAAATTTCAGAATTGGAATCATTGGTAGAATTTAATTTGTAATTTCTGTTTAAGTATGAGGAAATCAGTATAATTAACGTTGTACATTCTCAATACTGTGGTTTATAGCCCTTTCACAGCTGTTTTATGCACATAAGAAGCAGCAATGTCAGAATTTTTCCGCTTAGACTTTCACATCAAGTTTACAGTACAGCGGTCAAATTTAAAATACGTCATGTAAGCTTCAGCACTTGTTCCCCACGAAAATAAACGATGGAGCTTTGAGGTCCTACGGCAGTTTCTTGATTTTGTTTGAGTATTTTGTGGTTGTTATAAAATAACCACTGAGATATATTTCTTTTGAACAGTTTTCATGGGATTTTTACCTGTAAGCTAAATGCGAGTACAAATATTTTTTATAACGTGCACATCATGAATAGCATTACACCGTTACTATTTTCTTCCAGTACCGATCACTAGGAGGAGAAGAAATATTACTAAATGCGTGATCGCGTAGTTTATAGCGATTCCCAAAATCCTAGATTAATGAAGACAAGCCATCAAACTGTACTTCTCTGTTTTTGTTTACTCACATGTGGCTCACAGATAAAGATATGCAAAAACTAATAAAAATGTTTTCAGTATGTTTGAGCTATTTACTAGGTTATCAATGCGCAACAGTAACGTTTGAATTTTGAACGGTAATGTGGTCTCTTAAAAAGTAAATTAGGAGAGAGATTCTCCGCGCAGCGTTGAGTCCGTTGAGAGAAGTTCAATGTTTTTTACTTGCGTAATACGAAAAAATTTGTCAACACTGAAACGTCAGATAATTCGTGAAATAACGAAGGAATTGTACACACCCTATGTTTATGGGGGATTCTGAAGTAAATGACCTTCCCGATTTTGTTTCCTCAGTATGCGAAAAGCTCCATAGATTCCTTCACTAAAATACCTCGAAAAATTAAAACAGTTTCGCGAGTTATGCAAAAATCGAATGCTACTGGTACGTTTCATTATAATTCAAACTCTGTTTTCAAAAGGAATTCTCGCCTTTATTGGTCCGTGGAGGCAATGCCGAGTTTCATTGCTTACGATGATAAACGGTTTGCCAAAAATTTGGATCAGTACATTACCACCATTGTGTTCAAAGACGGGAGACGCTGCAAATGCATAATTTGAAAAAGTATTTCGGTATACTAGATTACGCATTAAGAGTGTTTTCCAAGGGCTTTCCTATATATGAAATACTTTTAAATATTTCAACACTTTTACGCCCGGTGCGTGGCGTAAGTTTTTTACAAAATTGCGGCAAAAGATCAAATCTCTACAAGGCCCACACCGAACTGATAAAGGCAAAAAAATCATCTAAAAATAAAAGAAACTGCCTACCATTTTTCGAAAACTTCTTGCGATTTAACTCCTTTGAGTGCAAGGCCTTCTTTACAAAGCATGTGGAACTAATAAGAAGAAACCTCTCGAGCATATCCTCGAACTCGTCTCTTTTCCCGTCGAGATAACCCAAGAAGTACTGGTTTTCAACAGAAAAATTTTCAAGGTTCTCCTCAAGGAAGTCAATCTCCGATTTATTTAAAGAAGAATGATTAGTCGCCGCCATCATTACGCATTCTAGTGCCTTAATCAAAAATTGTCTTCAGTTTTTGGATGTCATCCTTTCGCGGGCTTTCGCAGTATTCGCGGGTTTCATAATTTCCCCACTGACCAAAATTACCGTGTACTCTTACGCTCCACGAATGCCTTCGATATAGCGTGACCCCCATCTTAAAGGCTGTGTCCCAGATATGAAATATTAATCAGGCGACGAAGAGGTATGTTAAACAGTTGTGGTAAGATGTTTTTACATGATGTAGGAATTTTCGTAGTATATTAAAATGTTACCATAAGCGGTTCCTAATGCTTACTCTGAAACGTCTTTTAGAAAAACAGAAGCAACATTGTGTTCGTAAGTCCGCACACTATTTCATTTGTTGGACTTTAGCCAATTCTGATTCACCGAGCTTATGGGCCTAAATTTCTCCAAATGGAGAAGTCAATCGAGATATATATTACTCACGTTTACCAGGTGAGCGATGAAAACGAACCGTGTGGCCGGGCGACATCATATTTCGTCATGATGCGACATTCAATGATCATTTGATGCTTCGACTTGTTGGTTCCCCATGATGTAGGACCCTTCCTCGATTAATTGAAATGTTACCCGAAGCGTTTCTTAATGTTGACTCTAAAGCAGGTTAAAATTGAAACAAGACAGTATTCGTAACATCAGACTGATTTGATGGACTGTGGCTCATTTTGATTCCGCCGAGCTGAGGACCTAAATTTCTCCTTCGGGAACAAGCAATAACTGACCGAAATCTTTATCGCAATTACAGTTCGCTTTAGTTGGCTAGGTATTAAAACGAGCCAGATGGCGATATTATATTTATTTGATAGTTAACATCCACAGAATTACATGAGTATCTCGAGGAGCCTCACTATTGCTGAATTATCAGTTTGTTCGTTCGCTTCGAGTGGTCAGAATCCTAGAGTTTTACGCCGACGTTGTAACGTAAATTTACAATTTAACCTGAGCAAGCAGGGAACATGAAATCGCTGTGTAATCACATTTAGAAAACGATGCATATCTTACCTTTTGCTTTAAAAGGATTTGCTCTTAAAATGCGGTTGTGTTATTAATTCCGAGCAAGATATTTCTTTATCCGTAGACACGTATTTCCGCTTTGGGATAGTTAAGGAATATCTGTCACGAGAAAAGTACCAATTGTGCTTATATCGTTCCAAATTAGACAGAATGAGGAAATCGATGGTTGTTATGAAATGAAAGCTGTATATATATATATATATATGGTGGAGAAACTGGATTAGCACCAATCATGTACGTGATGGGAATAAAGATACTGAGTTATCTAGTCAACGGGAGGAAAAATAGGTCTTAGTAGTGTTCAGGTTTTGTAATTATTTCACAGCCGAGAGAACGACTCAATGATTCAGGGCATGTATCCCGTTTTTTCTTCCTTCGTTATACCTTCGGAGAGTTACAAAGTAGGGTAAAAATTCATTTCGAAACTGTTTTTTTTTTTGCGTGATATTTCATGCATATTACATACGTAAATGTGTAATTAGGGTTTTTTCCCGTGACCTTTCGCTTTCTATTGCATCATTTTAGTTCCTAGAAATGCATTATTCCGGGTAAGAAGTTCTTGAAGAAATTCAATCCTTTTCGTATGAAAGTTTTGTCTATCTTTTTCTTTTATTTTATGAAAGCTGACGCTATTTTTTTCGTCAAGTTAAGTTATTCTTAGTGCGTAATGAGCGGAACTGAACCTCGTTGTTTCGATGCATTACAAATGTAAGAATTTATAGTTTTACCCTGACGTTTACATCAACAGCAAACAGTAAAACACCTACGATTTCACTCACTTTTCCAAAAACCCTACAACAAACGTCTTTAGAAGAATAGCAACAACGATCTTACACACAACTAGTGAAAATTTACTCATTTTTAATGATAAACGGCCGAAACAAAACGGCAAGAAGTCTAACACTGATCATTTTAGTTTGCCATATGGTCATTCATAACCTCTCCAATAACTCAACCGTCGTCAAAATGTCAACATGATAAGGGCATCATGGATTTATTTTGTCGATCTACACTCTTGAAGCACCAAGTGAGCTTTATTTCTCGATTGAAGAATGAACGCTACAGTGACATCACTGCGGGAAAAATTTAAATTTGATCTTATTTGAACTTGAACTGTGTATTTGACGCGTGACATTCTATTGGCCTCACTTTTCTTTAGAACTTGAATATCAAGAATTAGCAAGGCTAGAAGATAATCGTGTTACTTGTCATGTGATCGTATTTTACACTGAATGTATACATAGACATATGATTGGGTTTGATTTAAAAGTCTTGTTGTATTTTCTGATTCTCGTCATTATCAAGTGGATAAGTACAAATTGAAATTTAGAACACATATTTAGGCAACAAAGCACAACATGACAATTCCAATGTCCTTGCAATTACAGTGCCATACACAACCAAAAAAAGTTAACAAATCAACTAAAATAATAGCATAAATCAGGCATTATGACAATATCTCAGCACCTGTTAACCTCGGAGAACATACATTAAACGCATATTTTGGTTTGTTTTGTTTTTTTCAAAATCATCTCCTATACCTTGACCTTGATTATTCTGGATATCCAATAATTATTCAGTATATGTCAGCTACTGAGGTATATTCTAAATAATTATAGATATCTAATATCCTGAATTTTTGTTTGCATACTCTTGTATTACTATGCTATTTATTAGTATGACTGATATGCTAGGGTTAACCATTCCAGGCTGAAATCTAGAAAAACAAACGAGCTTAAAATTGAAACTGACACAGTATGGACAATAAAGACATATGGGCAGTTAAGACATTCGTACGGAAACTGGGATCTAGTTGGAAAAGTTTTACAGTTTTGTGAATTGAGGTAATCTTTTGATTTGATTCGAGTGTGGAATCAGTTCCCTTACCAGCGTCGTGGTGCTTAAAATGTACCAGGGTTGAAATAATAGACGCTAGCTTGTTACCTGTGTGTAACAAAGACATAGTCTAACGGTGGTCGAAATTCTTCAATAATTAAAAGTGTCAAGTAACTAAGGATTTGGTGGTCTAGCATAATTACAATGATCATATGCCTGCAACGGCGGTATAGTCTAAACAACTTTATAATAAAGTTCGGATATAACGCGCGCTGTCATTGGTTGAAAGAGCGTGCTCTAGAGAGTATAGAGCATAGAACTGAGCTAAAGCTGTCACGCCATCTGCCAATTGTACTATGTTCGACCTTTTCCGGGACTTCTTTTTAGCTTTTTCCCGATAATTGAAAGTGAAATTTCGGAACTGAAGCGAGCCGGCAAATAGCAACAGAAGAATCAAACAAAGGTTTGTAAACATACCATGCGCCGTAATTTACGTTATTTAAACGTGAGTAGATACGAAAATCCTCAAAGGAAAAACAAAATAAACATTCTGAGTTTTAAAGATTTTCACGCTCAGTTAGATTGCAAGCTTACGTACGGTAATAAAAATCAAACACAGCTAACATTCGTATAGTATATAAAGTTCAGTGTTCAAAAACAAAACAGGACAAAACAGAAATGATGAAAAATATAACCAAACTGGCATAATTGTTAAAATTCATACTAATCGTGTCTGAGCGAATATGATCATGCTGAGTTCATCGCGGCTCGCTCATCATGGCGATCTCCGGTCATCACAGTAAAGCAAGCCTCAGAAACTACATCAGCCGCCCTTGGGGTAAAAAAAAAAGAGCTTGCTCTAATATCCTTTCCGATACGTTGAGTGGCAATTCACATCGGTCACTGCAGCCGAGTTTTGCGGCGCTGTCATCACGAGCGATCTTCATGTTCCGGTGAATTCAGCTGTCTTTCATTCAAAAAACACTCGCCTTGAACAGCTTGTTTTCTACCTTGTCATGTGGAAAAAACTCGCGTGTTTTTATGAGCCATAATTCGGTTGAATTTCACTGAACATATCACTTCGAGATTCTATATTGAGACTTAAAAACTTCAGGCAAAAGTGTTAAATTCGACTTGCCGAACTATTTTAGTTTGTAAACTATCGTAGAATGTGAACTTTGATGGTTTTTGAACTTTGATGGTTTTTGAACTTTGATGGTTTGACACTTTTGACAGCTTTAGTCTTGTACAGCCAATCAGATTATTTGAACCATTCTAACAAGGATTCTGATTGGCTTATTGTAGCGTGCTTTATGAGAATATAGAGCATGCTGACGACATTGTTGTTCGCTTTGGAAATAAAGTTTGTTTTGAAAATTGAAAGTAATGCTTGGGTAATTTAACGGATTCTTTATTATAAAACAAATAGAGAAGCCTTGACTGTGCTCTGTTCTGTTATAAAGCACTTAGAGCACTCAAGAAGTGGGAAGAAACACTCGACTACGTCTCGTGTTTCTCCCTACACTTCTTTCGTGCTCTAGCCGCTTCCTGCGTGCTTTATAACAAAACAGAGCACACTCAAGGCTTCTCTATTTGTTAAATAGATACTAATATCTTGTACTTTTGTTTGTGTACTCTTGTATTATTATGCTTTATTTATTCGTATGACTTTAGACTGCTATGGTAAGATTAAACACTCTGAATTGAAAACTATAAAACAAACTTGAACTTAAAAACGAAACCGACTCAACATGGAAAATTTGGATATTCGTAGAGAAACTGGAACCTATTTGGCAAAGTCTGGTAGTTTTGAGACTGGAGGTTATTTTTTGATTCCAGCAATGTGGTAACTACAATTCGGTGCCATTTCAAAAATTTATGGCCAATTTTTTCTATATTTATGGCTAACACAATCATAATGTTACCGCTCAAATTTGGCCTGTTTTAGGGCTTGAGATTTAGAGCAGAGAGAAGATGGGGTCAGAAATGTCAACTGATTCACATGATTCTGATGATGGTGAGTGACACAGGTTTTGGCTTAGGGTCTAGTTACAACTTCTAATTATTTTTGTCAGTCAGTTTTTTTGTCTTTTTTGTTTTTGGTTTTTTTTTTCTTTGTTTTTTTTTTTTTGTAATTTATGGTTCAGAGATTGATTTGAGTGGCTTAGCGGCAAAGGAACTTAACTGCACAAGCCTTAAAGTAAACTGGAAATCTGGATACCATCAAAAAGCACTAAACTGAGTGCAACTTCAAAAAAATTGACTTAAAGGTGTTTATTTACAGTGTATTTATAGTGTATATGAACAATTACTGAATTGGAGTAAATCGATAACAACAGTAGAAATTATTTTGTTTGATATTGTAAGATGAGTTCCTTAAGAACGAGAACTATCAGCCGAAAAACTTTACTTTATTCTCTTCTCTCTACTTAAAGTGCAATACATAGACGGCGCGCTGTCATCTGTGCTTTTCGATCCTCGTTATTATTTTGATTATTAGAATTTATCCCCTTATAGGTAGGCTTTGTTACTGATTGGCTGTTATGCTTTGTGATAGCAGAGATCCATAAAACCGGTTGTTTTAGGATGAGGTTCCTTGTGGATGGCTTTTTTTTTTAATAATAACAACAATACAAAGTCTTTATGCATAGCCATATCATGGTTTATATACACTCACCAAGTTTGATTGGATGACTTGACTCTGGTGACTCTGCTGACTATTAATTCCTTTCCTTTTAAATACTGTCTACATCCTTTCAACGAACTCATACGTGACAATTCAGCTTTCTTGCGTAGTAGTGTTCTCATAAAATCAGTAGGGGGCTTGGATGTATTTTTATACTCGATGGTAATTCCTCTTTTTCTTTCTTCCTTTTAGCACGTAAGAAGAAGAAGCAGGAAGGTAATTATCTGTGCTAATAAATTACAGAAATCTTCATTATCGGTTCAAAGTCTTCCAGGTAGCACACGAGAGCCGAGATTGTACACAGTCCATACGGATTAATTTTTTTCAGTTTTGTTTTATTTTCACTAATGGAATAAAAGAGGAAAGGTAACCATCCTGGCAATGGATCATACAAATCCTCATAAGCACACAGCCTTATAAGCTTTGGACTAAAAGAGAAACAAAGTACGGATGCATGGATTTATCTAGAAAGATAACGTAGTTACCGTTTTTCTATGTGTAAAAGTCTTAATGCATAGCTCTATTTTGATTTATGTGCGCTCATTAAGTTTGATTGAATAAATTGACTCTGGTGAGTCTGCTAACTATTAATTCTATCCCTTTTAAACATAATCTACATCCGTTCAATAATCTTATACGTGACAGTATATACGTTTTCTACGTTTATAGGCTTATTCTCACAAAATCAGCGGGGGCTCGGATGTATTTTCATACCCGATAGTAATCCCTAATTTTTTTTTTCTTTTCAGCCCGTAAGAGGCTGGATGAAGGTAATTATCTGTGCTAATAAATTATAGAAATCTTCATTATCGGCTCAAACTCTTCCAAGTAGCACACGGTAGCAGAGATTGTAGAAAGTCTGTATGGATTGTTTTTTCAGTTTTGTGTTATTCGGTTTCTGTTTTGGTTTTTTCTGGGGGGAGATAAACCACCCCCCCGGTTTTTCTTGGTTTTCACCAAGGAAATCGCTTCAAAATAGGTAAAATGTATGAAGCTCTCACTGCGATAATATTTAACCAATTACTCTGAGGGTTTGCACACATATTTTTCCATCCTTAGTTAATGTCCGCCGCAAGTATCAGTCAATTTGATTGACGGCTTGTTAATCAACAGAGGCAAAGAAACGACTGTGTTTTTAGACTTTTCGATTCATCCAAATATTTGACAACTTTGAGGTCAAATATCTCCCCTTGCCAGAAAGCTACAACACTAATCTTGATTTCCCTTTATAACCCATCATTTCATCTCTGAAAATCATCAAAAAAATCTATGGGCGTTATCATATTTTTGTCTTGGATGCCTTTTAAAATCTGCGACTGTGACAAGTTTCTCTCAACTACACCTGTCACGCAATTCTTGCTTTAGGCGGTCACTTGACCAAATAAACCTACATTTTTTGGCTCTTTATACAAGAAGATTGATCAAGAAAGGTGAAAAATGTGAAAAACTTTCGAGATTTTTTGTCTTCGTCCTCATTCATATTTACAGAGAGGGACCTCGTCAATAAACCAATTTTTGTTACGGCAGATAACCGGCTGAAGTATCGAGCGATTTGCTGCTCTATCAACCGGTCAGTCTTCGACAACATATCTGGCTGGTGAAATCATGATTTGGGAAATCACATTAGAGGCGGTTGCCTTACAAGTTTCCTCCACTGTCCAGCACACGTCTAAGAGATAATTCTTTGCTTTCTAAGAAAAGGTGGCTGTTTTTTGTGTTTTCCAAAGAGCCTATCCAAAGTCCACTTGGCTAATAAGGGATTGTTCGTCAGAATTTTACCTGAGGTCCGTCCTTGAACGTAGCCATCCCCTATAGAATGTCTATTTCCTCTAGATCTTATCGTAGGCGGATTCTTTTTTGTCAGCTTCACCGTGTTTTTCTTTGTTAGGGTGCTTTTGGATGGCAGTCAATGACTGAGACGTCTCGATACATTCTTCCTTTTAGCAAGAATATCTCGCTTTCTTGTTCTGTCTGATACACCTACACTACATAAGATTAACAATGTCTGTTGCGCTGTTGCGAGAAGGAGGAAAATATTACCGGAAGTGTAAACTCTTAAAGAGTTTCAGAGACGTTTCAGAGATGTCTATCTTCGGCTGTCACAAAAAATTGACCCCCACTTAAATTCACTGGGAAAAAATTACAAACTCCTTGTTGAAAAAATTGGAACTCATTTGATCGATACGCCGGTTGTTTCAATTTTGCTTTTTCCTCGCGCTGTTATAAAACAGTTCAAAAATTGACCAATAAATAAAATATTTTGAAATACCGTTCAGAATTTGCCTTTCCTTTTCTGAGTGCAAATCAAGGGTAGACAAAGTTTTTAAAACATTTAAAAAGAATTTCATGGGGTTCACCTCGATAATTTTTGTCGGCCAAAGTCAAGACACGCCAAGCTTAGCGACATCGCTCCAGAGTAAAATAATTTTCCAAAGAATAAATGTGGCGAACGTGAGGAAACGCACATTTTTTTAAATTATTGTGATCAAAGCTCAATGATGTACCTAAATGGGCAGTTACAGTATCAAACCATTGATTATGACAGGGTAAGCTAAATTTTTCTGTCGAGGTCGACGTGACTTCACATTAAAAGTGTTTTTGACGGAACAAACTAGTGAGCATCACCGCTCTGAGAAAGTAAAAACTTGTATTTATCTCCCACACGTTTCGTCTGACAAGAGTAGACTTCATCAAGGATTTTTTCAAATAGGGTAAATAAGCTTGCTCATGTACAAATAGTAAATAAGTTGTCTCTTTACTGTTGAAGCCAGTGGATAGAATTCGCTAGGTGCGCCCACGGTGTGATATATGCGTGATATTTTCCGAACGTTACATGTACGAGTACGTGATCCGTTTGAGGGTCACAGATTTAGTGTAAATATTTGACCCCTCAACATCACGTAATGTCTCTAGTTTACAGAGGATTTAGAACGTTTCATTACATGGATTTGCCTTCTGCGGGTAGGCGTAATTGCCTTTGATTCTCAATTGATGTTGTCGCAAACACAGTTTCTGAGAGTCACGAAACAAAAAAATTATCAGGACCTAGTTTCATGTTCCAATGGAAATAGATAGCAAATAAAAACACATTCTCTTGAGAAATAAATTTATAAATAACAGGGTTTCTCTGAAACAAATAGTGATAGAAAAGGGTTTCAGTTCTGGTCAATATTGACTTTTCATAGCCTACTTCCAGATCTGAGGGAACGCGCTGAGGGAATAAAAAAACATAAATGTGTGATAATGCAAGGCAGAGAATAAAAATACAAATAAAGAAAAAGGAGCAAACATAGGAGCCCGTGTTGCAGCGTGCCGATATCTTTTGAGCCAGACCTACAAACTTAAGCCCGACACCACCCAAAGAAACTTGAGAGAGTGTTGTATTTGAACTGGCACGCACGTGCACGCAGGAAAGGCCATGATAATCGGCGAAAATAATAGCAAATGTAGATGATATTTGCAGTCAAAAAAAGGAAAAATAAGATAACAGAAGGATTAAGAACTTTCTAGAAGTGTCTTCTTGAAAAAAAAAATATAAACAATTTTTGTTTCTCATGAAAGGTCACGCAGTCACGCTACAAATACTATTTCTACGTGAAATTTCTTGATGGTGGAAAGTGGAAAAAACATTTTCCAGTCTTATTTTCTAGAAACATGGCGCAGTTAATGAATTTTATGGGGCTATTGATATTTCCTATCAAATAAGGGGGGCAGAGTTTCCCGTCATCCGCGGTATGGAAAAGCCGAAGTTGTTACACACAGGAACTTGTACGTCAACAAGCACGCGACATGACTTCAAAATCTCCTCTCCTGTTACATTTTCCTTATTATTTGAGCGATAATGATAATAGACGATCAAATTATAGGATAATGAATGTTTTGTTCTGTACAATAGCCCTATTTCCTGATTTTAGCAAATCTTCAAAGTAATAAACAACAAGGAAAAGAAACGCTACGATTTTCTCCTCGATTTTTCGCCCACATGCATCTCTCTAAACGTGAAATTTTCCATTCCTACAAAAAATCTCGAAAGTTTTTCATATTTTTCACCTTTCTTGATCAATCTTCTTGTATAAAGAGCCAAAAAATGTAGGTTTATTTGGTCAAGTGACCGCCTAAAGCAAGAATTGCGTGACAGGTGTAGTTGAGAGAAACTTGTCACAGTCGCAGATTTTAAAAGGCATCCAAGACAAAAATACGGTAGCGCCCAAAGATTTTTTTGATGATTTTCAGAGATGAAATGATGGGTTATAAAGGGAAATCAAGATTAGTGTTGTAGCTTTCTGGCAAGGGGAGATATTTGACCTCAAAGTTGTCAAATATTTGGATGAATCGAAAAGTCTAAAAACACAGTCGTTTCTTTACCTCTGTTGATTGTCAAGCCGTCAATCAAATTGACTGATACTTGCGGCGGACATTAACTAAGGATGGAAAAATATGTGTGCAAACCCTCAGAGTAATTGGTTAAATATTATCGCAGTGAGAGCTTCATACATTTTACCTATTTTGAAGCGATTTCCTTGGTGAAAACCAAGAAAAACCGGGGGGGTGGTCTATCTCCCCCCGGTAAAAACCAAAACAGAAACCGGTTTTTTTTTTTTGAGTTTTGGGGTAGACCCTTTAAACTGGCGAAGTTTCATTGAAATCGGTAAGATGGCATGTAGCACGACTGCCCGGTGCTCTCGTGGACAGGCTCTTAAAGGGCATGTAAACCCAAAAATACATGTTTTTCTTATACTATGTAAAAAGTGGCGTAGAAAACGAATTTGAAATTAGTTTTGTCCAATTCGACTTATTTTAGGAGAAAATCGGCATTTTCAACTGAAATTCCATTTCCGGTAAAAACAATAGCGAGAAGTCGTGACGTAAGCGGTGGAACCAAAATATTGCGCAACACATATTCCCCAGTAGAACTGGTGTGGGAGTTCGTGTAAGTGGCGGCAGTTCGGAAGATGTTTTTTCAGAAGATAGCGACTCGAATGCCTTAAGCTTAGAACATGACAGCGCTGGGGATAATCCAGAATCTTCAGGAGAGTCTGGGCCACGTCCTTAACAATATGAGCCGCGTAGAGTTCACCGAAGCGATCCGCACGAAGACAGTACAGAACATGTCGACAGCGATGCGACCGTCTCGGAAACTCAGACTGGTATTTAATTTACTTTGTGATTTATTTGTATTTAACATGAAAATGCAATAAAGAGAGGGTACAATCTAAAGGAATGCAACAGAATTTTTTTACCTTGAGCTTCTGAAAGTGTTTTATATAAAATTATCAAAGGTGCGAGTGTGGAACTTGTCAACCAATACCGACAACTCATGAAAGTGTTTGTTGTACGGAAATCGGGCAATTATGGCAAAATGGCCTGAAACCCAGATAAGTTGTATCACTGAGCATCCAGGTTTTCAGTCAATTTGCCTCGATTTCTGGGTGCTGGAGACGGCCAAGTACGCGTGCAGGCAGCAGCAAAGCACAGATAATCACACCGGAAACGACTAAGCTAAATATTTTCTGTTTCATCTGTTTTGTT